GGATAGATTTGGCGCTTCATCCTATCTCTATAAATCTTAGGTATCACTTTGCCCAAGATTTAACTAGGTTTAATATTTCTCCTTCCTCTTTCTTATCTTTGCTATTTGAAATCTCTAAGTAAAATCAATCTTATTCATTATTTAACCATATTATGTCATCGTTACAAAAGCAATTTATAAGACAATAGCGAATGATAATGCTATCAGTGTAAAACTATCTGCTATTCTCTAAGTTTTATCTAGGGAATTTTTTATGTTAAACTAAATGCCATATCCAAGCACCTGCCCAGATGTCCTTAAAGATTGGAATGATGCAATGAAGTAGGCTTTGGAATCATCATATTTTCCACAACATTAACCAGTAAAGGTATTATTCTGATCATTAAACATGATCCAATCAAGATTATTGAAGATTGATGAGTCATTAAATATTTGTAAGGTATGATCTGTCTCATTTTTGTAATAAATACTAACTATAGCACTTTGATTCATTTATTCATATAGACTATCTAAAGATAGTTCAAACATTTATTCTCTAACTAGTTCTATCGTAATGTTTTACTAAACTGAAAGATTTGTTAAGTTTTAAGATCCATTGTGGTTTGAAGAATAGATAATTAGCTTTACTTAAAGTTATCTCAGATTCTGGGAATTATCAAAAGCGTTAACTAACAGATAAACTGATTATTAGATCGGAGCTTATCCAATCAAAGAACCTTAATGAAACCGTAACCACTAAGGAATCTATTAATTTTAATCAAGCATTTAGACTGATAAAGTCAACTATCTATTGAATTGATTTAAAACAAAAGTATCATTCAAGTCAATTTCGAAATTTTCTGCTTACTTTAATGCAAATTCTATGTAATTTTGATTAAACTGAAAAGATGTATTTCTTGACAAAATATCAATATATAAATAAACAAAGGCAGTGTTTCCCAATTAGTCAATGACTATTAATTTAAGTTAGCATTACTTATTAAGATAAAAAATGTTTGGGAATCCATATAACTAATTGAAGCCTTGAATATATGTAATCCAGTTACAATACTAAATGCTCTATATCTAGATATTTATGGAATTTAATTGATTATCAGACAATGAAAAGTATTATGAGATGTTAACTTCCTATATATACCATTCACTAGCGAACCCTGAGAAAGTATTATTATAGAGGTAGCTCTCAACTGTTTTTATCGGAGCAATTATATTCAGTGTAGTTTCAAATTCAAGCTAAAAGCATTCATATTAGTCTTGAGCTGTAATAATCACAGTGTATTGTAGAGAATTTTATAGTAATGTTGGATCAACAATCATGACACCATTATATCTATTGATTGTGATAAAGCTTGGAAGTGCCTATTAATTTATTAATGTAGCATAGTATTGCAAATTAGTATCCGAATTAAGAAGGCATTCCTTATAGTTTAAGTAAACTTAAATTGAAGGTAAAGTTATTAGCACTACTTTAAATTAATCACACTTGAGAGGGTCATAAAAGGGTTTCGAAAGAACAATTAGGGTAAAATCTACAGATGCAGACAGAAATTAATCGCTTACATGATAGATTTTATAGTATATTTTCAAATCACTGGGATAGCCCAATACTGAATTACTCTCCTAATCAAAAAATATTTTAGTAGTTTATTCTGTATAACCCCCAGTATCTTACAGAGTATAAATTAAAGCATGCTTGTCATCATCAATAAATGTGTTAAGTGGAAATTTGTAAAAGAAAGTTTTGCTTTACTGTAAGCAAATTTACTCAGGAAATATAATTTCATTGTTAAGATATGGCTAGAAGTTTGTTATACTTAATGATGCTAATGAGCTTTGTGTTTATTGGTTATAAATATCAGTTACTAATAGAAATATTTAAAGTTCAATGGGAAACTGAATTGCAGTGGGGTAATCAGACTTTTAAGGTGTTCCATAAAAGGTTAAATTTTTATCGTCAAATTTTAACCAACTTGGTAAATTTGTAATTGCAACATTAAAGCCATTTGCAGTTCGAACTTTAGTAGTAATTGAGTAAAATTCTGAATAAGGAAAACTGAAAAAATCAGTTATTTGAAAAGTATATTCGTATGGGTACAAAATTCTGAATTCATCAGGACTCATAAAGAAACTTTTCAGCTCTATTGGTCCAGATTTAGGTAAAATTTTAACCGTTACAATATAGCTAAGATAATATGTCTATGAGCTTGATGAGTCAAATATCTGTGATTCAAAGATAATATCAAAAGTACCTTAAGCTGTTGGAGTACCTTTTATTTGCTAACTTATACTGTCCTGCTATAAACCAGCAGGTAAACTATCTCGAGTATATTCCATTGCAACTAAAGTGATTGTAGTTGGAGTATTAACACTTTTGCAGTAATAGAATCTCTTTTAATAGTTAATTCTTGCAATTGATCCGATTTAAAAATAATAGTAGTATTGTGATTCTTATGGAGCTACAAAGTAACTTACTGAGCATTCAGAATTAGAGTAAGAATTCCAACTATTAGCCATTGAATTAAGAGAATACTAAGATATCTCATCCTCAACTTAATATTAACTGAAGATTGTATCATAGGATTCAAATTTATTAGGATGAAATGTGTTTTTCCAAGTCTCATATAAATCATCAAAAAAGTTGGTAAAATCAAGTCTCTATTTAAAGCATCCCCAATCTTATAAAGTTGATTGAAATTTAACGATGTATCCTTGATAGTAAGAATTTAATTTCAATTTAGCTCCAGCTATCACAAAGTTATTCCTTACATCTATAATTAAAGATTATTAACTAATAATTAATATATTTACCAGAAGTAATTAGAAATCCCTTTGTATCTATACTTGGATCGTAATATTAGGTATCTAAAATAGTCTTGTCACTAATCTTTATTTTAATAATAGCTGCAAAAGGTGAATCTAGGATTGAATTTGCTGTTCTAAACTTTGCTTACTATAACGAGGCAATTACATAGAAATATCTACCATCAGGTGAAAAAATACCATCATTAAAATAATCTGAAACTCTATCTCCTCCTATATATTTTGCCCATAAAGTTTCTCCATAATAATCTAGATAGACCAAAACTGCTTAGCATATTTGAGTATCATTATAAGTTTTGACCAATAGCATAATTTCATTGAATTCTGGATTCCCAATCATTTTGACTACTTAGTCATTTCTACTTGTACCCATATACTTACTCCACTGCACATTCAAATCTAGATCATGCTATTGAAATGCTAACTCAATGTTTCCATTCGGATTAGAATTATCGAATTTGAAGCATTAACTTGATGATACAGAGAATAAGGTAGTATTATATCTATCTAAGATTATTTATTAGCCAAAATCATTTGAAGCACAGCCTTATTGCATGAATTTTACTATACCACCATTTGAGTCAAATTTAGCATAGAAGATGTCAGATCCTAGTAGAGCATTATTTAAAGTAGTGCCAATCATGTATATGTATAAGGCATTGCTATCTATTATCATTCTACCAACATCTTCATTACTAGCAGACCCATAACTTTTTATCCAAGTTGGAGTTGAACTTTGGACTCTGATTTTTCCCAAAAATAGATCATAACCTTTATTAGTAATATATCTCTTACCAGAGATATAAAAGTAAGTTTAATCGTTGGGATATTTCGGCATAACAATATTAGTACAATATGTATAAGCAGCATCTATTATCACTCCAAATTACTGATCACCTTTTTCATCTAATTTAAGGTAGAAAGTATAAACAGAATTTGCCTGCCCACATAAATAGTAATTATTTTTGTCATCAAAATCAATAGAAGTTGGTATTGTATCATAATTAACATCATAATACTTGAAAAATCTTGTATCTGTATTTATGCAATCTGCAATCGTTTAAGTATAGACTAGATAATTTCCCATATACAAAATAAAAAAACCCAAGCAAAAGAAAAGATTAGTTCTTATATAGCTTTAATCACAGACAAGTTTTAATATTTCCATTAAATATATACCAACTTTATAATATATACTGCTTAAAATTATAAATGAGACGGGGTTTTGGGGTTTTGGGGAGATCGGAAGA